ATCTTTCTTCAGTGGCTTGAAGATTGGTTCACAGGTAGCAGTTAGATGTGAGATGAATCGGGAAATGTAGTTCAGCCGTCCTAGAAAGCCTCTGACTTCTTTTTCTGTCTTAGTAGTTGGCATCTCTTGTATGGCTTTCACTTTGGCAGGGTCCACTTGAATACCTTTGTCGCTTACGACGAAGCCTAGCAGTTTTCCAGATCTTACCCCAAAGGTGCACTTGTTTGGATTTAATCTCAGCTTGTACAACTTCAGACGGTCAAACAACTTCTGCAGATGGTCAAGGTGTTCCTCCTCGGTTTGGGACCATGCAATCATATCATCGACGTATACCTCAATCTCATGATGGATCATGTCATGAAATAAAGCAACCATGGCACATTGGTAGGTTTCCCCAGCATTTTTCAACCCAAAAGGCATGACCTTGTAGCAAAAGGTGCCCCACTGAGTAACAAAAGTGGTCTTCTCCATGTCTTCAGGAGCCATCTTGATTTGATTATAACCGGAGAAGCCATCCATGAAGGAGAATACCTTATGCTGAGCAGTATTGTCAACCAGAACGTCGATATGAGGCAGAGGGAAATCATCCTTAGGGCTTGCCCTATTCAAATCCATGTAATCAACACACATTCGGACCTTACCATCCTTCTTCGGCACTGGAACCACATTGGCAACCCACTGAGGGTAAGAATTCACTGCTAAAAACCCGGCATCAAATTGTTTCATCACCTCAGCTTTGATTTTCTCAGACATTTCTGGACGCATACGGCGGACCTTCTGTTTAACCGGAGGGCAGTCTTCCTTGGTAGGCAGGTGATGAACCACAATGTCAGTATCCAATCCAGGCATGTCTTCGTAAGACCAGGCAAAGATTTCCACATAATCATGCAACATCTGAATCAACCGTTGTTTCACACTGAGCTTCAGATTGGCACCAATCTTGACTTCCTTTTTGTCTGTCTCAGTACCCAGATTTACCGTTTCCACTAGCTCTTCATGTGGCTGAATGGCCCTCTCTTCCTGGAGTAGCAGTCTTGCAAGCTCACCAGGCACTTCGCAATCATCTTCACCTTCGTCTTCGGCTAAGTTGATCGGATTTTCGAAGTCATAACTGGCAGTAGCAGAGTCGTTACCAGTGAGATCCATAGTGGATTGGAACCTGTATAAGTGAGTGTGTGTAAATATAACTGTTTTGCAATATATATAAAGAAAGAAAGGGAGCACAAGATTTGAAATGCGAAAAACGTCCAATGCTTTTATTCATGATATATGAAAATGACAAATAATAAGCCCTCACAAATGGAGCCAGGTGCCCCGGGTAAGACACCGAGCCATAAAGTTTCAAATTATTGTTCGTTACAAATTCAAAATAAAGGAGTTCATTACTGAGTGACAAAAGTAATAGGTATGTAGTCTTTGGCAGTCCAGTTGCTTGGTCCATCGTTGGTCGTTGGGTAGATCCAGCTGTCAAATTCAGATTCCTCCACGTCGTCTTCAATAGCATTCACTCCTGGGTTAGTGATGAGCACATGAGGTCTTCCAATCCTTGCTTTACGCACAGCCCTCTGAGCTTCTGCAGTGAAACCCAAACCAAATTTGTCAGTCTTCAGAGTGAAATCAGGAAGTCGGCCCCAGTTTGCACACTCACCCTTCTCAATCACAGCCCGGGCATCCTTCAAGGAAGCCATATTCAAAGGAGAGTCTTCTTCAGTTGCAGTTTCTGCTAACGCCAATGTCTGAGGCACCTCTTCAAAATGTTGAAAGGGGGTCTCAATGAACTCCCCATCCATCTCTATGTACCGGAACGAATTAAGATGGCTGACCATATATTCTTCCTCCCCCTGCACTGTAACAATCTTCCCTCTGGCCGGGTACTTAAGCTTTTGATGTAATGTGGAGGTCACAGCTCCAGCCTTGTGGATCCACGGACGACCCAGCAAACAGGAATAGGACGGTCGGATGTCCATCACATAGAAAGTAGAATCAAAAACTTGAGAACCAACCCTGATTGGAACGTCAACTTCACCATGTACCATCCTCTTCGACCCGTCAAAGGCCCGGACAACAATGTTACTAGGCTTGAGCTCTAAACCCTTACAATCCAACCTGTCTAGGGCCTTCTTGGGTAATACATTCAACGAGGAACCAATGTCAACCAGCACATGGGCAAGAGTAGTGCCCCTGCATTCAATGGAGACATGCAGGGCGTCGTTATGGTCCTTTCCTTTGGCGGTCAGATCGGCGTCAGAGAAACCCAACCCATTATCAGTAGTCAAGTTGGCCACACAATCAGTAAATTGATCAGCAGACGTTTCTTGTGGCACATGGGCCGTCTTCAGGAAGGAGATCAGAGCCTTGGCATGAGCCTCTGAACATAACAATAGTGATAGCATAGAGATCTTAGAGGGGGTGTGCCCCAGCTGCTCAACTACATTGAAATCACTCTTCTTGATAATCTTGAGGATCTCTTCCATCTCTTGCTTGGAAGCTTCAACATTGACGGTCTTTGGTTCCTCCGTCTGGGCAGGCACATCAGTAGCAATCCCTTTGCCCCGAGCGTCAGATGACTCGGCAGCAGGGGTAGAAATAGGAACTTGGTCAGGCAAGGAAGCAGGCACACTGGCAGGTGTGATGATAAGAGGTCTCTGAATAGCTGGTGGCGCAATATCAGGTGAGAAGAGCCTACCACTACGAGTGACTTTGGCAGGCCCGGTGATGTTGGTGACGCCGGTACTGGTATCAAACTCTTGTTTTACTCCGAGCACATAAACATCTGCCCCATAGTGCCAAGGGACAGCTTTGTCAGATGTATAGGGGAGGGGCCCCGGAACAGTGATGATGATAGGAGCAATCTTCTGAGCAGACATGATTTTGGTAGGCTTCTTTGAGGGAGCCCTAGGAGGGTTGTTGAAAATGGTGATAATAGAAACTTCTTCAGCAGGGGTAACAGGAACAACAACCTTCTTGAACAAGATCTCTTTGTTATCCATCAGGTTTTAGACGCCTGACTTCAACAAAGGACAACCAGCAGGTGAAACAGTACATAAAAGGAAACCTTTACTACATCCCGGAAATAAACCGGCTAGCAACAGGTTCCTCTTGACAGTCAACAACGGAGTAACAATATCATCCACAGAGGCTACATACCGGTCTTCTTCTACAGCATTTGCTCCATGCTGGGGCATGGGAGCAGTCACAACATTGGGCCTTTCGGGCGCCTCGAACTGTATTTCTTTAGCATTAATAAGGTCTTGAACCTTATTCCTCAGAGCCCAACAATCATCTGTGTTATGCCTCGGGCTATCAGAGTGATAAGCGCAGCGGGCATTGGGGTTGTACTTTGGGGAGGTTGTGTTCACTACCTTCGGAGCTTCCTTGATAGTTACCAGATTGGTTAACAGCAGTTGCGGCAGGATCTGAGACAAGGTCATACTGAGCCGAGTGTACTGCCTTTTGGGTCTCTTACCCCTTGGTTGGTTATATTACTGAGGAGAAGCAGCAGGCTTTGAAATTACCACCGCGTTGACAGCTTGCCGGTGTTTCGGTTTATTCTGTCTTCTGGGACCATAAACAGCACTAGCTTCCTTCTTGAAGGGCTTTTTTTCAGTACTCGAGGATGCCCCTTTCTGTATCTTCCCCGACTTAATACCAGCTTCTATCCTTTCTCCAGTCAGAATGAGGTCTGTAAACCCTGCAGAAGAATTACCAATCAGGTGGTTAAAGAATGGACCAGACAGGGTCCCCAAGAACATGTCCACAAGCTCCCGGTCAGTCAAAGGTGGCTGCACCCTGCCAGCCAGGTCTATCCACTTTTGCGCGTACTCCTTAAAACCTTCTCCCGATCCTAGCGACATACCCTAGAGTTGGGTACGTGTAGGAGCGAGGTCGGCATTGTACTGATACTGCTTATAAAATGCAGTAGCCAAGTCCTCCCAGTTTCGAATACTGGTTCCATCCAGCTGATAGAACCACTCGAGTTGAGCCCCTGAAAGGCTATCCTGGAAGAAATGGATCCATAGATTCTTGTCTGTAGTGTAAGGTTGGATCTTCCTCACATAGGAATTGAGATGCAGCTTAGGGCAGGAAGCCCCGTCATACTTCGCAAAAGAAGGTGCCTTGAACTTGTGTGGGATCACCACCCCAGAAGATAAACCTAGATCCCCAAAATCCAACCCAGGCACCTGTTGAATCTCCATGGCACTCAGACGGTCCTCAAGTTGCTTGTACCTGTCACTACAAGAAAATTAGTGTTTAACGACACAAAAATTGCGACAGTTATGTGATAACTGTCGTAATTGACATATAGAGACAGTGTTTACGACAGTTGACACCAACCGTCCCTAATATTTATTTTGCGACGGTATATTTAACCATCATAATATTATTATTACGACGGTAAAACAACCGTCGGCCTCCATTTAACACTTTTAACATTGATTTTTCACCAACAACTAGTCACGACGGTAAAATTAACCGTCCTAAAAGGCATATCACGACGGTAAAGCACCCGTCGCACCCTTAAACCTTTCACGGCGGTAAAATTATCCGTCCTAAAATTTATTTCACGACGGTAAAACAACCGTCGCACCCAAAACCTTTAAAAATTCTTTTTATGATTTTTTAGGTTTTCTAATTTGTTGTTTTAGGGTTTGATTTGATTATTAGATTAAATATGCAATAAAATGTGAAAGGCTAACCTCTTAGCATTACTTCCTCTCTCTATGATTCCTCTTTCTTTCTTCTACATTTCTCAAAACTGGAACTAAAAAACTCCAATTTCCTCTTCAGTTCATGACAATCCCGCAACAACAAAAAAAGACAGAACACATGAGGTTTACCAACACGATTCCAACTTGTGTCGATGGATAATTTGGCCGGCGGCTTTGGTGTGTGTGACGATCGGAGTTTATGGCCGAAGCAATAGCGGCAGCCGGTGGTAGTTGAGAGGATGATGGCGGATTGTTGAGCAGCAGAGGGACCTCACATCGGCTGTGTATGCTATGTGGAGAGAGACAGTGTGCGTTGTGGTTGTGTGGGTCATACGGAGGTGGCTGATGCAGAGAGGGTCTCTATGTTTGCGGAGATGTGGCTATGACCCAACAAGGGCACCATTGTGGTTGGTGACAGTGACCAGTTATGCACGATGGCTGGTCGGTGGTGACATTATGTATGGCGTGGATTCGAATCTGTATGTGTCGGTCTCGAGGTATCATTCTGGCGAACAAGCTTTTGGTTTCTACTTCAATATCCTTTCTTTTGCATATAGAAACTTGGATTATATTTATGTGTTATGATATTGTATTATGGTTTTTGACAGGTTGTATGAATTAATGGTGATTTGTTTTGACAAGTTTGGCTTATGGTGAAAATAGAGTTTATGTTTGGTTTTATGGGCTGTTATTGTTGTGATTTGTTATGATAAAAAATGGTGGATGATAGGTAGAATGATTTTATCAAATACCACTTGATTTATCAGAAATAAAGAATGACTTATTGTTGGATTTTTGTTAAATTGTATGTGGAATAAATTGTGTAATCGATAGATATTTGTAGTGATATAAATGTGAAAGGGATGTGTATACTATGTACAAGATTTAGTGTGAGAGTGTTAGTTGTAGTGTAAAAAGTGGAAATGCCATGATGAAGCCAATGTGCGCACTGCAGCTTGCATTTGCTTAAAAACTGTCTCACGCTCAATCAAGGTATGCTACTTGTGACTAATAGGATTTCATATCTTTTATGTTATTTATAGCTTAGTTCTCATGAAATGCCATTCAGAATTTGAGTGCAGGTTATTTCATGAATGAAAGGATTGTCATTCCATTAGTCCGGCTTCTCTCTGATCTTTGCACTTCTGTCCAAGTACGTCTAAACATATCTATACTTTTTTTTCTTTCTTGTATTAAAGTTAAAGTTAGTCCTTTGTAGCTTTCTTTCATTAAGAAATGCATAAATGAATCTGTCAGTCGTGCTGAGTGATTGGAATCTAAACTTACAAAATCTGAGGGTTAAGTTAAAATTCAATTTGATATGTACCTTTTTAGATATATAATTTGGCTCTATTCTCTTGCCTGTTCATGTAGATTAAGCTTGAAATTGAATTAGTTCAGAGATCAAGTTTTTTGCTTGACCACTTGGTTAATTAGTTATATGGTTGAGCGATATGCCTTTAGAAAGGTGTAGCAGACTGTTTGCAACATAATATGAAAGACATGTTCAAGTAGGATTTCAGTGATTTCTGTAACATCTGTATTTATATTTTGTACCATCGCTCATCTTAAAAGTTACAATGTTTTATTTATGAAGTTGTCATTATTTATCCGCTCTTTGACATTTGTTGATACTCTATTCACGATAATGCATGCTTGTATTGAGTTTTTTAAACTATCCTTTATTTACTTATTTAATAATTTAGAGTTAGTTAGTACTAGAGATGGAAAGCTTAACATTGAATTTGAAAGTATTGTAATTGATGCTGAGTAGGAGGGGCTGACTTAAAATGTTAATATTGGACTAACTGTTGGACAATGATATTCATAATTCAGCTGAGCGGTTTTGATTGACTGTATTTTTTCTTTTAATGTTATTTGGATCTTCTTGTCAAATATAAAAATACAGATATATTACTAAAAAAAATGGCATATTGTTGAACAAACTGAGCTGTTGAGCACTAGCAGTTTGTACATTGTGCTAAAAATGAGTGTATCACAAAGGCCATATATGTTATCCAATTTATAATTTTATTAATGATAATTATAAGTTTTATCTTTGCTAAAAATGAGGGTATCACAAAGGCCATATATGTTATCTAATTTATATTTTATTAATGATAATTATATGCTTACCTTTGATTGGTTCAAACATGAACTCTTCTCCCCAACTCTTCATCTCTTTCCCAAAAGTTATACTTCCTGACTAATCGTATTTACAGAGATTTTACCTCATTAGTTCTTAGTTTTGTTAAAGTTAGTAAGTATAACTATTTCAATGTTGTCTTCCAGGTTGCAGCCCTTGGTGCTATTAGCAACATAGTAGTGGACTTTACACCAAATAAGTCAACAATCATACAATGTGGAGGCATTAAAGAGCTTGTCCATTTGACAAAGTCTATGGATTCGTCTTTAAGGTTGAATGCTGTGTGGTCCTTGCGGAACATGATATTTCTTGCGGATAAGATGTGCAAGGAAGCAATTTTTATGGAGTTGACTGCTTCTTCAGTAGCTACCCTTATCTGTGATCCTGAGCCTTCTTGCCGGTAACAAATCAGTCTTATGTGCTCAAATTCTTGCCGGTAACAAATCAGTCTTATGTGCACATCGTTAGCCTTTTAACCACAATATATGTCTCTTAAAGATTTGATGTGGCACGTATGTTCCGTTTTTAATGTATTCTTCGTGGATAATTTTATATTATGAAGTTAGTGTTCACTTATGGAATGAAAGAGTAATGAGAAATTTGATCATTTATGAAAGAGAAATGAGAAATTTGAGAAAATTAGAAAAATTGAAATTAATTTAAGGTTAAAGTATCTATAAATAATTTAAATTTTTTACATAGTTGAGTTATGAAATTAATTTGTTTACTTTTTCTGCTATGTTGCAGGATCAGAGGCAATGTTTGCAGGGTTAGGCCATTTTTCTAAGAAATCAATCAAGGTATTGTAATGCATATAACTTGATATGCAATTCTTGTATATTTGATTGTAATTGAAAATTATTAGTAACAAACAACTTGTGCATCATGCTTGGGTCTGTTGTTTGTAGATTACATTTATTTGCTTGATATATCCGCTTCTTGTGATATGTTATGCGGGCCAGACTGCATTTATCTCAAAATTTGGAGACTGGTAATTTTAATCATCTTAGTCGATCTGTGCCAAGTAAGTTCATCAAGACCAATATACTTTGAGTACTCCTATGGTATACACAAGATATACCATGTATTATATTCATTTAACAGGCTAATAGTAAAAACTTCCTCTTATAATTATTGCATTTACCCATGCGGTTTCATTCAATCGTGGAGTGTTTGTGAAGATTACTGTTGAATGCTTCCAACTTTGAGATTATTGCTGAAATTATTGTGGTTTGTGGGGTTGGAAAGCATAGAAGTGAAAAAGGGGAATCATCAATTAAAGCATTGGGTCAGAAGATGTTGATGGAGATGAAAAGTCCACTCAGGATTGATAAAAGGAAGATGGATGCTTTGTTGGTAAAGGTAAAGCTGTTAAAATCTGGTTATGTGAATTGAGGAAGCCATGATTTTGCTTCTATATATGATGTTATGTGCTTTCGCAGACAACAGGAAGCCGAGGAAATTCAGGGCCTGTTTGTGGTTCTAAAATAAATGAGTTACCTAACAACCATTCATCAAACACACTGTCTAGGAGTGAAGTTATTGCTTTCAAATGGTAGTCAAGGAAGGATCATGGTCCTAGCATGGAAGTTTAACACAAAATCACTTAACACTAAGGACTTTCATGAATTTTGTAGAATATTGTAACATTTTTTGTAATTCTCTCAAGTTGTAGCAAACCAATGTAAATATTAAAATGAAATTTGGCCTTTGATGATATTTGAATTTTTCTTGTTTATTGGTAAAATTTGCACTTCTTTTTACCTTTGATCATATTTTTTTTGATATTATTGATGATTATTTGATATTAAATGTTTTTATTGTAATTAACTTTATTATGTTGAAAAGTGATAGAAAATAAAATAAAAATACTATAAATAAAAAAATATTAAAGTAAATAATAATTTAAATATAATAGTAAAATATTATAGTAAAATAATATTATATTTAAAATTATTTTACTAAATAATAATTTAAATAAAAATATTATTTGAAATTTATAAATCAGATTACGACGGTTAAAACCGCCGCAATTTCTAACCTACGGCGGTAGAATAACCGTCGCAAACAACAACAAAAACAAAAAATAAAGTCAAATTCACGACGGTATATAACCGTCGCTATCTGTTGTGCGTGACAGTTTTTGCAACCGTCGCGAAATAGGCTGGGGACGCACGATTCTGCGACGGTACTTCTACCATCGTAGATTGTAAATTGCGACGGTTTTAACCGTCGTAATCAGCCAAAATAACCGTCCCAATCTATCATTTTTCTTGTAGTGTGTCCTCAGCAGGAGGGTACTGTTCATCATTGAAATTTGTCTCGTTGTCGGAGACCACATGACTAGGAACCCTTCCCTCTTGGGGACTGTCTTTCCCTACAGAGGAAGCAGCCTGATCAGCCTCATTCTGCAGTGTATTCCCAAACCTTCATCCAGTGTTAAACAGCATAATTCTCTTCTTCTTCTTCTTGAACAACAGAGTCTTCAATTCCTGTTGTCCCTGGGCTAAGCTCATGACCAGCTCTTGAAACTGGGCGTTCTGGGCCTGGAGGGCCTTGATAGCTTGTTCGTTGGATGATTCAGGATTCATGATGACGGCTGAAATAGACAGCGAAGAAGATTAAGCAACCTGTAAAAAAGAGTACATGTGATGCATATGATGAATGGAATGCGTATGTGTGATCGGTGGAAATAGAACTGACTGTTTTTTAAGCTGGTTCGCGAAAATGTCGCGGTAAGCAAGAGTCGCCACCGTATTTTATGTTCTCCAACATGGAAAGGACAAAAGCACAACAAAATTCCTTATTCGAGAATGTTTCTCGGTTCGGGAGGTAGATTTATAGAAAGGGAAGGTGTTAGCACCCTTTCTATCCGTGGTTATCCACGGGCTCTTAGGTACTTGCTCTTATGTTTTCAAAATTTGTTTGCTTTTCAAGTGTGTGTGGGTTTTGATAAAGTTTCGTTTGAAAAATTTCTAAGTAACTCTTGTATCTGTCCTCAAGAGTGTATGAAAAATTTGTTTGAAAAAACTTTTAGAAAGTGTGAGGTGTGAAAAGATGTTTTTGTTTTGTTTTGAAAAGAGCAATTACTTAAGAGAAATCTACCTACTCTAAGGAATTGGGTTGTGTAAGAGTCCTTTAGATAGTGTTATCCCACCATTGAGAGGTAGGTAGCACCATCGTTGGAGGTATTCGGGTCAATTCGATTAAGGGACAATGTGGTCACCGAAGCAATGGTAGGACACCTTAGAAGTAACCCTAATGTCCTAGATCCTTTGTATCCGAGGCAACCATTTTGAGGCAACTGGATATTAGACAGAAGGGCGACCTCTAAAACATCCTATACTTGATGACCACGTTCGAGGCAACCAGTGAGGCGTACCCTAGAAGTGGCATGTGCTTTGTGTGTTGTTTTTCAGTTAATTGTCTTTGTACATGTTATTTGTGAGCTACGGGTTGATTTTATTTACATACATTCTTGCAGGCATAATTAACAATTAGGAGTGCGGAAAATAAATTGCGGAAATGTAAATTCTACGCTATTACAAGGCGCGGGTCTATACATCGCCAAAAACAAAAACCCGTTTTGGTAAATAAGTACGAGAAATTAAATAAAGCGGTAAAATCCCTAATTAACTATTACATACTCTGTACAGATACATAAATATAATCAAAATAAATAAATACGCGCGAATAGAAATTCAATCGGGAACGTCCTAAGGGTTTTGACCCTTCTTTAAGAAAGAATTGAATTTTTGTCCTTTTTTGTAATTGCAATTAATTAAATAAAGCCTAATTACCAATTAATTAATTTATTAAAAGAAAAGATATTTTTTTGTGTTTTTATGTTTTTAATGAAAATAAAAAGGAAAATTAAAAGAAATTAAAAGTTAGCAAAAACCTAATTCTAAATTGTTTTTATTTATTATGAAAAAAGTTAAAGTTGTTCTAATTTTAAAAGACTAAATTAATTAACCATATTTATTTACAAAAATAAATTAATAAATAATAAAATGTTTTTTTTTGTTTTATTGAATTTTATGGGAAAAAATTAGTTTGTTAGGTTAATTAACAATAATGATAATAATTAAAAAAAGAAAATAAAAAGAAAAGGAAAATAGAAAGAAAAAAAAGAAATAGAAACCAATGGGGGTGTTGATGGCCCAATGGAGGTGTGAAGCCTGGAAATTGTTGGCCCATTAACCAGCCTTGTTGACTTTTGGAGATTGCCTGGAGCACGTTGACTGGAGAATATAGTGTTCATCACTTTTTGGCCCTCGGATTGATGATCATGGCCACTTGGCATGTGGAACGCTGAAGGTTCATGGTGAAACGCACTGGACATCCTGCACACAAACACATAAGAAAAAATGATATTGAATTTTGGGGGACCTGGGAAGAACTTACAGCGCGGTATGATGGATCTTAGGACGTGGCAAGGGTTGCTTTAGCTTCAGGGGATGGCAAAGAAGAGAGTCACGTTCTCCTTTTGGCCTGAAAATGCTTGCAATACTCCTTTTGATCTCACACTTTTTTTTTACACTTTTTGGATTTTGCTCTGGCCGTTTGTGTAATGTTCTAGGTTGTGAATGAGGCTTGTCACACTTTCATATGTAGTAATGAATGAGAATAAGTTACATTATGAGCCAATGATCCCTTGCAATTAAGTTTTTGGATTCTTCATAACCACCATTAAAGATCATTCCAAGTTTGTTCAAATTTTGAATTTTTATGCATAAAATGGCCCTAGCACGAAATTGGTAGGTTGTTCATGACACATAAAAGTCATTCAAATCAAAATATATTATTTAATTAATTTTTTTTTATTTTATTTGAATTTTATGGATTTAAAATGAATTAAATCAAATAAAATTAAATAAAAATAAAAAAATTAATGTTTAATATTGAAATTGATCATGGGACACGTGGGTGGCATGACAAGGCTGAATCAAGTGGAAAAAAGTGGGCCCTTTTGTCAAAAAATGAAGTTTCAAGGATAGTTGACTTTTGCCATTTCACAAAAATTTCCCAACTTCTCCAATGCATATCTTGCTCAATTTTGATCATATGAACATGTTCTTGGACATTTTGGAAAGGTATTGAAGTCCTCTAACCAATGCCTTTGGTCCCTTGTCATTTTGATTTACCAATATCAAGTTATGGTCTTTGACTTAAAATGCCTTTTTGTTGACTTTTGAAAATGACCTATAATGTTGAAATTGATAACTTTTTGTGAGAGCATTTCTTGGACTTGGAGTGTGAAGATGAGTTGTAGGAAATGTCATCCCCTTCAAAATGAGCATTGGATGGGATTTTTCTGATGAACCATGAAAAAGTTATGCCTTGGTCAAGTTACAGTTGACTTTTCAGCTGTCCAAAAATGGAAACTTTTGCAACTTGATGATTTTTGAGCCATTCTTATGGAATCATGATCAAGACTTGATCAAATGATGATTGTGACTTCAAAATAAGATGTTGACCAAAAATTTTGACTTTTGACTGCCAAATGACCATTTTGCCCTTACAGTTGACTGTTGAGCATAAAGGGCTTTTGACTGTGCAACTTGATGTTGTGAGTCTTGCAACTTGACATGTGGATGCTTGACAATGTGTATATGCATATATGACTTGATTGAGCTTCGGAAAACCTCAACTTCCTTGCAAGAACCAAAACCCTAATTTTGACTGGCTTAGGAGGATGTTTGACTGTGCAATCCTAGAGTAGACTTGAGCAAATTGAGATGATGCTTGTCAAAACTTTGAAGAATATGGGAGGGAAAATTTTGGGGTACAACAGTATGATTTATGGTTTCAAAGACAATCGGGAATCAACTTTGTAGACCAAAAAGGAAACACACTTCATTAGATTTAACTTTGGAATTTAAATTGTTCAAGAAATTGCCCTTAGGCGTTACAAGAATGAAAATACTGAAAAGGAAATAAAAGCTGTAAAAGAAACATCCAAAGTCCATTAGTGCTCCCATGGCCTCCTCTTTTCAGTACGGATGTAGTCATTCAGGACCCGCTCGTTCTCCAACTGCTTTGTCAGCTTCTGGATTTTCTGTTCCTGCTCTTTGAACTTTTCCCGATAAGAATCCCGTTCTTCCTGTAGTTGTGCCCAAGACCTCTTTAGTGTATCAACATCAGTAGGTATCTGAGGAGGGAGAACAGTTGGAGGAACCCCATCTTTGTTAGGAAATTCAAGAATGACGGGTCTGACAGCTTCGTATGGCATACCTAACTTCTGAGCACGGATGCGGACCCATCTGTAGTAGGATTCCATAGGTAGAGAAGTATTCGGTCCCAACTCATGTGGTTCAGCTTTGTGAATTTTGTCCCAAGCTTTGATGAATCTACGACGTAGCTCGTCACTATCTACCTGAAACTCAAAACTGATGTGAGGCACCAGCATCTCATGAGGCCCTGCTCTTCTGGCTCTTCCAAACTGACAGAGGGCTAGACATGGATTATAAGAGATTCCTCCCTGAGTACCAATCAAAGGAACATTAGGATATTCTCCGCAACGATCAATAACAGCTACCTCATCCAAACCTCTGAG